TGTGTGTGTGTGTGTGTGTGTGTGTGTGTGTGTGTGTGTGTGTGTGTGTGTATTTGTATGAGTGTTTGCATCCCGTTACCCTGGCCACTTGGGCCTGCTACACGCTGCTTTTACTTTTACTTTTGTACTCAAACAGGACAGTTCGCCAGCAGTTAACTATGAACATAATGTTATTGTGTTTTTACGAGATTTCTCTGTTTAGCTGTTATATTCGGAATGAAAGAACTGTTTATGATAACAGTATTCACGGTATTACCGTTTTGTATATGTCTCTTTTAGCCTTCATTTTATGGTGATTCAACGTGTGAACATTCATGTGATTTCATGGAATCATTATTTTTCTAACTTTTAACTTTTCCTTGTGCATGGGTGGTTGGTGGGTGCTCTGGTGTCGTTTGCTCTTTCTCTCCTATAGCCATCTATCATCCCTGTCTCTCCTCTTTTTTATTTGGATGTTACTCTTGCAAGTGCCTTAAGTGCTAACTAAAACTAACTTTTCTTTTTCCCTTGTTTTTTCAGGAATGTGCAGGATGTTCACCACCTTGTATATGTGCAGGAATAAAAGGTTACCCCGTAAGTATTTGTAGTCTGCCACACAAATTATTTGAGATTGATGATACTTTGAATTATTAGTAGTGTTTACCGACTGATAAATGACATCTATGGTGTAGCAGTTAGGTGCTTCCTTGTTCCCCACAGGAAACCTGAGTTTGATTCCCGAGTGGGGAAAAAATTATATGTTTAAGTATCTCCGTCTTTCTGCCTAGATGTTGTTACATCCCTCTCAGCCCGAGTTGATCCTGACAGGTAGGGTTGGAAGCCCACCTCCTGTCCTAAATGATCGAAATTGTGTTGATGGGGACGTAAAAAAAAAAGTACACTAAAAACAGACTGATGTGTTCACAGACCTTTAGAGCTATGCTTTATGGGTTTATTGAAAGAATTCTGAAGAAGATTTAAATTCTAGAAGAGAAGATGTTTTATGTTATGAAACTTGGGAATTCCATGTTTTGAAACCATTTTTCCAGCATTTTACTTAATATTAGTATTAAAATGATCTCAGAATCCCTGAGGTGTTAGATGCTGGCTTGATAGTTGAAAGTTATCTCATAGCATACTATGAATAAATGTGTAATTATAACAAAAAGAAATAAACAAATTATGGTACATGGCTTTTAAGATTTTGATCTTTTGTTTGCTTGTTGTTGTTTTGGTTGGGGGATTTTTTAGGGAGGGGGGTGAGGGGGGAGGCAACATTTGGTTTGAGGATTTTGGTTCAAGAAGAGTCAAAGCAATGAATGGACAGGGGCTTAGTTCAAAACTTGTTGCTGCTTTGTGGCAGTTGGTGACTGTCTAGGCTCTTGAATTGCTCTATTATTGTACAGTGCTGTATAAATTGAATGTGTGTAATGCTTCAAGTTCTCATTTATAACTTGTTCCTCTCTCAACCTCCCATTGTGTGTGTCAGTTCATGATCATGTATTAGAGAGAGATGAAAAAAAAAGAGAGCTTACACTATTTACACTTTACAGTCATGAGTCAAATTTCCAATGTGTCAGCAAATATTTGCACCTTTGAAAAACTAAATACCAGCCCACTTAAATAAACCAATCTTTACATTTCAGTTTAACTTACATTTACTCTTTCGCACAGCTACAATTCAAGTAGAAACACAACAAATTATGTCATTTGTCTTACTCAACTGCTCCGAGATATTGAGCAAAACCTCTGTTTTCTCAAAAGCGCATTTCTGACTCTTCAGAGCCAGGTGACCCATTACTTTGAACCAAAGCAGCTAGTCTGATACTGTGTTCACGAACTTATAGAGGTTGATATTTAATAAATCATTGACTTGATCCCCATATAGTGTTCTATCCTCAAAATGTGATGTGTAAGCTTAACTCATTTTTATTGTGTTGCTACACATTTCATGATTTGTAATATCTTTTTTGTCCTTTTTTCAGGGAGCTTCTGGTCTTCCTGGCCTGAGAGGGCCTCAAGGTCTGCCCGGATTTTTGGGACCTGAAGGACCCATCGGAAAGCAGGGAATCCCCGGAAATAGGGGTGAACCTGGAGCTCAAGGCCAGAAAGGATACAGAGTGAGACGCTGTTTTGTGGACTGAATTGGCTTACAGCTTAGTGCTAAGCTTCCGGGAGAGGGAGTAGTGGCTAGACAAATTCTTTTCTTTTTGCTCTGCTTAAAACAAGAAAACCAGAAAGACATGTTACATATTGGAGAATATATAAATGCTGTATGGAGTTTCAAACTTTTAAAGATCCCTTGGAGCTTATACATTTTTGTTCTAACATTTTTTATTTTAAGGCGTTAAAGAGACTGCTTGGTTGATACATGAAATGCACTGTGTTATATGTTAAGTCGCTCTTTTCGATTTGAATTTTTATTTCTCTTAAGTTTTGAGGCTGTGTGTCTTCGGGCTCCAAAAGATTCCTATCTTTTAAACTGCTTCTGATGTTGCTATATTTCCTTTTTAAAACTTATGTGATTTCTATTACAATGAGTTCCTATAAATTTTTGTAAAAATAATGTTATTGCTTTGATTTTTTTCCTCAGGGTCAAACTGGCTTGCCTGGTTTCACTGGAATTGCTGGTATTCCTGTAAGTTGCACGATTAAGCCAGATTTAGAAGCAAAATTTCTTCTTTTTTTTTTAAGACATTGCTACATTTGCAAAGACTTGTTCTGGAAACTTTTTGACTCTCTGTCTTAATTGTTCCTCTCCTTACCACAAATATAATACATGTACTATATAAATTTATTCAAGGCAATAGCAGATTGATGGCTGGATGCAAGGCTGTCAAATGCGATTATGCTGCGTAATGTTTGTTGCTTTCTTGCACTCAGCCATTGAGATGTATTCTTACTATTCTAAGGTCCTAGATAAATGTTAAACGTCAGCAAGATATAAACAATTTTTTAAAGAAATGAGATGAGGATGTAGAAAAATGTTTGAGAATAATATTATTGCTGAGTAAACTATATGAGTTTTGTTTTCCAGGGTCAACCCGGTTTGGAAGGACCTGTTGGTCCAGAGGGCTATGCTGGCTGCAATGGTACCAAGGTAAGGTTACTTCTAGTCCATCAAAGATATTTAAATAACTGCATTAAAAAAGAAACTTGACGTGTTATGAAACTCAAAAGTTTATACATTATATTTCTCAAAACTAGGTACTGAGCAGATAAAACTTTGTAATTCTAGGGTAGCGAAGTGGTAGTGGCCCAGATAGGTATAAGACAATTCATCATAATATTCATAGGGTGATGTATAACTTGGCCTCTCCAAATGTTTTCTGAAAGGTATGCTATGAAGCAAAAATCTCTGCCAAGCACAAAATACAGTGGAGTCCGCTTAAAGTGAACACGCTTTATTTGAACAATCAGTGAAAGTGAACGATATTCTGTGGTCCCGATTGAAACGCTATTTGTTTAAGTTAAAAAGTAGTTGATAAAAAGAACCAGGAAATTGGATAAAGTGAATGCCCAAAATGATTGAAAGTCAAGAACAGACCAACTGTGTCACTGTCGCCAGGCTGTGAAAATAAAATTCTTTGCCTCGGGCATCGGTAGACAATCCCAGCTCGGCGTTGACGATGGCAATCTCAGTCTGAAAGAAAGAGCTCTAGTCTAGGCTCTCTGCTGTGTTGTCCCCCCATCCCCCCACCCTACCTCCACCCTAGACCCACCACTGTACTTAGCTACTGTTTCTAGGCCTCCACCCTACCAAAATGGTTAATATGAACCTTGGATAAAGTGAACATTTTCTTCTGGTCCCAAAGAGTTCACTTTAAGTGGACTCCACTTTAGTTGATGACAATGTTATAAACAAAACAGTAAACGTGGATAGAAACAAGACGTTGAAGTGATCATAAACAAAATGTTATTGATGTGGTTATATGTTGAAGTGGTCATTAACAAAATGTTGTTGACCATCCATCCCCAGGGTGCTCTGGGTGTCAGAGGTCGGCCAGGCCCAGCTGGACGTCCCGGAGGTGCAGGTTTCCTTGGTATCCCAGGTCTCAAAGTGAGTTACGTTTTGGTTTGAAAAAAACATTTTCTTTTCTCATCCTTTTACTTTTTTTCTTCTTTTCTTCTCTCTTTTCTTTTTTCCTTTCTCTTTTGTTCTTTATTTTCTTTTGTCTTTCTCTTTTGTTCTTTTTTTGGTTCTCTTTTGTTCTCTTTTTTCCTTTTCCTTTTCTTTCATGATCTATTTTCTTCTTTCCTGTATTTATTCTCCATTTTGAAAAAAGCCCAACTTTTTTCCACTTTTTGAGTCTTTGGTTCTTTTTTGTTCTTTTGTTTTGCTCTCCATTTTCTGTTTTTCTTTTTTGTTTATTTCCCTTCTCTCCATTTCTTGTCCCTTCCTGTTCCATCTCTTTTCTGTTGTTTTTTTTACTTTAGCTTTCTATTTCATTGCAATTTATATTTTATTTAATGTTTCGTTAACATTCCACATCATGACTGGTTTGCTGATGCTTTTTTTGTGCTTCAGGGTGAGCCTGGTGAGTTCCGAGGATCTGCGGCCGGCATGAAGGGAGAACCAGGAGTCGAGGGAAACCCTGGACTGAGGGTGAGTAAAACTGAACCTGCCTGCTGTTTTCATATAGTAGGACTCTTCTCTATTGTAAAACTGTGCCTTCACGATTCTTTTTTTTTTTTCAGTGCTTCTGAGAGACTGCTCTATTGAATATAAGTGTTGTCATGTGATGACGTAAATGGTGCTGCGGTACAATGAAATAATTGTTGTCATATTATGATAGTAAAGAATGTTTCCATATAAATGTTACCATATGATGGTAAAAAAAATGATGGCATATGAATGTTTCCATATGATCGTATAAATGTTTTCATGTGATGATTTAGATTTTGTTTTTTGATGATATAAAATATTGTCACACAAATTTCAGAAATGCGCAATGTTGAAAGGGGAATTTCAAATATATTTTATAGAAATGAATGAGTTTGAACACTTTCCATGTGTAATGCTAAGATACTGAAATAGAAGAGATTGTATGAAATATTGCTTTACACATAAATATTTGTTTTTTATTTCTGTCTTTCTTTCTTTCTAGGGTCTACAAGGTTTGCCTGGTGAGGAAGGCAGAGAAGGAATGCCCGGTGACTCTGGCTCAAGGGTAGGTACAAAGCTACCACCATGGTCATCTGACATTGACAATACACACTTTGTATCACGTCTTGGTGTCTGTTCATAGGTTCAAGATTTTTTGAGTTAAAATGAAGCTACTCAGATTTGTAAGAGATCTCATTGGCCATAAAGTTTCATGCACTTTGCATTCTAATCGGGCGCTGAGATCTTCCGGTTTAGGACTTGGCGAGCTTCACTTGATGCTCGCATTGTCCACTTGGGGTAATGGAGTTAATTATTGCATTTTCTGAAGATGTTGCTCTAGTTTTTTGCTTCATTCTGAAAAATTTACATCAGAATTTATGTTATGGTGTATTGTAGAGGTATTCTTGCAATTTTCCTTTGATTGACACCTGCAGCCTGTCAGTGGGATGGTTGAAAAAGTTAGAATTCATAGTTTTGGGAGCTTTATACAGATTGTGATAATATCAACAAATGAGGTAAAGAAATTTGTTAATGCAGTGCTGAAAAAGATTTTTCACTGTACTTATCTACCTTGGTGCTGCCGAAATATCAGAATTCATTTCTAATTGGTTGTATTTTTGGTATGGTTTGCTCCTTCTACCTTTTGTCACTATTTCCTTGATCACATCTGTTTATTACTAAACAGCTATTGTAAATGTGCTGACTACTTTAAAGCTACAGTTCAAGATCCCAGAACAATTGATTCTATTAACTGGGAATTGCTTGTGTGTGAGACTATTGATCATAATAATTGTGAATTGGTATCGTAAGTATTAATAGTAAAGCTTTTCTACAATCAGTTATGATTTAACCATTCTTTCATTCATTCATTCATTCATTCATTCATTCATTCATTCATTCATTCATTCATTCATTCATTCATTCATTGGTGGTTTTTTTCTCTTGCAGGGCAGACCTGGTCTGAATGGTCTGAAGGGAGAAAAAGGACCGCTGGGCACAGAAGTCGTTGGAAAAGTGGGACCTCCTGTGAGTTGTCCAGTGTTTTGTTGTTTTTTTCTTGTTGATGTCACCAAAAAGTATCTTGGTGACAATGCATGTGTATTTAACAAATGTGCGGAAAAGTTCTAAGTGTGTCTCAGGACAAGAAAAATACATTTTAAAAATCTTAAACAGTTTTGATACGACTTATGTTGAAGAATGAAAGTTGAAATTTGTTCTATACTACTTTCAATGAGGGAAATTATTTTGTGAATGAACAATTTTGTAATAAGTTTTGTTTAATATGAATAATAGACTTTAGTCTGTATGCATTCTTTTACTGTTGTTGAACAAGAGAAGATTTTTATTTGTAAGCAATTTAGAGCCACTTTTTAAGATTAATGACTTTGGTCAATGGAATAAATGTTCATGCATGCACACACCCACATACACATACACTCACTTAAATATTTTTTGTATGTGTGCATTAGTGTCCTGAAAGTTGTACCGCCACAGAAAAAGAAGTTCCTTTTAAACAAAAAGTAGTCACCCCCACCCCCGCCCCCAGTCCAAGATACAGCACCTGCATGATCTGTTCATAAAAACCTTTTTTCCATGCTTGTTTGTTGCTAGGGTAACAAAGGTGACCCAGGAGACCAGGGTGTGGCTGGAGTGGAGGGAAACCCGTACAACGCCACTCTGCGACAGGGAGACAAGGGAGAAGAGGGCGAGCCAGGTGACCGAGGATTCTTCGGAGAGCCAGGACGACCTGGACTTCAGGGAATACAGGTGAGGAAAAGGACAAACCATTAGAGGTGCTAGTTTTCTAGATAAATCGGGAAATCTGAATTTCTGAAATTATTTGGATTTAGTAGCAAAACGTTTGTATATATATTTATTTATATTTGATTATGTATAGTGTCATTGTGTGTGGGATTTTCCTTCAGACTCATATCTTTCATTTTTCTCTTTTGTATATATATATATATCAAGTAAGTGCTTATTTTAAATTGAAGTTGTCTTTTCGTTTAATAGTTGTAAAGCGCATAGAGCATGCTGTAGAGTGTGGATATAAGCTACGTAAATGCAATTATTGTTATACTCATAATAATTATAATTATCATGTCTTTTGTGGTTATTGCTCTGTCCTTTTTATTCTCCTTCATGAACTGCAACTAAATCTTTGCTTCACTTGTGTTCCAGGGACCTCAAGGAGAACAAGGCCCCAAGGGTCCATTTGGACCTGAAGGACCTTCTGGAAGACGAGTAAGTTTGTTTGTTTATTTGAGTAAAGAGAAGCATATTGACACAATAAAGGTCATTTAGTGCAGGGAGTATAGGCAAGACAGACAGACAAACTGAAAGAAACAGCAGAGGGAAAGAAAAGAAATAGAACCTACCAGTAGCACCCATCAACCTTCCACAAGGAATAATTAGTTGGTGTAGCAGCTTTAGATAATTCTGACAGAGATATCGGCCGTAAACATTCCTTTATGACAATCTGCGTGAGAATGAAAGTTGAATAAGTCAGGCCCAGACTTTACTTAAAATTGTTACTTTTGACAATGAATATAAGGGAATAAGTTAACTTCGTGACTGTTTTGAACTGGAGAATGTATATAATTGTGGGTTTTGATGGCTGTATATTGTATAAAATATTCCAGAAAATAAGCCATTGGTTTATTATTCCAATTTATAAAAAATGGGAGTGTCTGCTGATCAGTATAGGTCCAAAGCTGCACAGTTAAAAGCAAATAGGAATCCCCTAAACGCCTTTCATAATATAGTTTGGGATGAGGATTGGTTTTGGATAAGGTTGGGGGTGAAGCAGGAGGCTTTTAGTTTAGTAGACTTTTTAAGGTGCTCGCAACTGCATAAGGTCATATATGAGCACCAAGGGGTGGATGTCAACAGAAAAGTCCATTCAATGAATCAGGCTTACTCTGCTCACCTCTCTAGCTTCAACAACACAATGTCTGCTTCAACTATCAAGGCACCCAGAAATAGCGGGTCACAAGAATGTGACAAACCTACAAAAGAAGTAGAGGAAAATGACAATAGTAAGGATTAGGAAAGAAGAAGAAGCAGTTCCGCATTGCAGTTCAGGCACTATGAGCATAACATTGATGAATCAGCCCATTTACAATTCTACTGTGCATTAGAGCATATGTTAATGTCCCCCCCTTTGGGAATGGCCTAAAGACACTTCAACCAGTAGCACCCCCG